TCCTCTTCCTCTGCACATTCCTCTACCTCAAATTCTTATTCCTGAATTTGTCAGTGCTGCTGCTAGTAAAGAAATCTCCTTCTTCTGGTGGTTCCTGACATTTTTCCTCATCCCATCCGTTATAAACAAACATGGTTAATCACACAATTTCATCAACTGATTTTATGGGCCAGTCAGGGATGATTTGGGGAAAATAATATTTTATGTTAGGGGGTTCCTGAATCAAATAAGTGGACAAAATAAGAAGTCTATTTGCTTATTGATCACCATCCCCCTATTATTCAAATTAGTTTGAATCATCAGAATAAAAATGTAGGGAGGTGTTTTGCTAGCACTCCCTGATTTTTGGACAGTTCACAATTCAGTGACCTGCCAGTCAAAGAGCCTCTTACAAACCTTGGCAAGCTAATTGAAGCTGATGATAATTTCCCTCATTAATAATACGTCAAATAGGAACTGCCAGTGGCCTGGCAATTCTCATTTCCCCTGCCCCTTGCTCAGCTTGTTGTCTGTTTTCTTCCAATACTGTATGTTTTTCTTCTGGAGTAAATTTAGAGTCCAAAGTATTTGAATATTCCTCTAGATGAGATCATAAGCGCAGAATATTCTTCTAACATCTTTTTTTTGAAATCTTGCCACAAAGGCAGAGTCTGCTGACTCCACACATGGGGCCCCCATGGTCAGTGGAGACTTGTTCTCCACCAGGCCCTGGTGTTAGTGTATTCTCCAAAGGCCTTATGTGGATAGGTGCCTGAAGTAAAGTGTCTGGTGGAGGTGGGATTGGAGGATAAAGGTTATAAGGAGGGGCTTAAAAGCCCCCAAGTTATAGGGGAGACTCAGAGGGGGAATCTCCCTTATGCTCAACTTCTTTCTCTTTTTTTCTCTTTACTCAAGACACATTTTTACCTCTGTTACTATTTCTTATGCTTAACAGCTCCTGTTTCTGTCTATCATAATCCCAGTTATCCCATACATATTAGTAAATCATTTACTTAGAAATAGATCCTCCAAATGGTGTCAGAGGAATGTCAAATCTTGCTGATCAAAGGTGACTGTTCTGGGCCACCTTTCAGCAGCTGAACCTCTAGTTATGAATGGCCAATTTCCTTGAAAAAAAATTATAGTGCATTATTATGGCATTGTCTTATCATCTTCGCATTTTCTAACATTTGAGCCAAGGGAAATAAACATTTCTAAATTTATTTTATTTATAAATTTTTATTTGTAAGTAAACATTATTTTCCATGTTTGCTTATATAACATTGCACTGTTTTTTTTTCTTCTCTGGGAACCCCACTCATACCATCTGAGTTTTTAACTGTGAGGAAAATTGTCCCTTTGCAGTCAGAGATTTTATCAACCCCTTTTGGCTCCCAGACTTTTCATGCTCTCATTCACAAAATATCTCCTGTCTCCCCAGGACTTGTTATTTCTTTATAAGCCTAAAACAAGCATGCAGGTCTTGAACCTGCAGGTGAGACTTGAACGTGTCTAAATCTTGAACCATCAGGCAGGCGTCTAAATCTCTGCCTATGGAAGCAACTGATTTAGAAGATGCGAAGGTTCATGGCAGGTGACTATTTAGGGCTAAGTGCCCCTAGCCAGTTAAACAGAATCAAACCAGGTGCTTCCACATCTTCCTGCAGCAACATATCCCATCTGAGTTTCCAAAAACTGTTTTAAAAATGAACTACTCATGGGCCTCTGAGTGTGTCAACAGACAGAGGCAAGATCTTATCAAAGCTAGTTTATTCAGCCAGGTGCCTCCTCGTTTTGAGGGACCCAGAGGTGTTATAGGAGGATGTCTCTGTATTAGAATCAAAACAACTTATATCATACTCAATTTGTGGCAACTTATAAAATACAAAAGTAGCACTAGACAGATGTCCAGACTCCTTCTGGCTTCTTATCTAAACATAATACATCCTCTTCAACTTCTTTATCTTCTTTGACCTGGATGAAGGAACAGAGTGCCCCCTCAGCAAGTTTGCTGAAGATATGAAACTGGGAGGAGTAGCTGATACCCTAGAGGGCTGTGCTGCCATCCAGAGGAACCTGGACAGACTCAACAACTGGGTGGTGAGAAACCTCATGAAATTCAACAAGGGCAAGTGCAAGGTCCTGCACCTGAGGAGGAATAACCCCAGACACCAATACAGGCTGGGCACTGACTTTCTGGTCAGAGGGACTGACCTTCTGGTCAGAGGGACCTGGGTGTTATGGTGGACAAAAAGTTGACCCTGAAGCAGCAGGGTGCCCTCGTTGCCAAGAGGGCCAATGGGATCCTGGGGTGTATTAAGAAGAGCATCTCCACCAGGTTGAGAGAGGTGATCGTTACTCTTTCCTCAGCCCTGGTGAGGCCACATCTGGAGTACTGTGTCCAGTTCTAGGCTCCCCAGTACAATAGGATTGTGTAGCTGCTGGAGAGAGTCCAGCGCAGGGCTATGAGGATGATTAGGGGCCTGGAACATCTGTCCTATGAGGAAAGGCTGAGGGAGCTGGGCCTGTTCAGCCTGGAGAAAAGAAGGCTGACGGAGGACCTGATCAGTGTCTATAAATAGCTCAAGGAAGAGAGTGAGGAGGATGATGCTGGACTCTTTTCAGTGGTGACCACTGATAGGACTAGAGGAAACAGCCACAAACTGAAGCACCAAAAATTCTGCAGGAACTTAAGGAGAAATTTCTTGTCAGGGAGGGTGACAGAGTCCTGGGACAGGCTGCCGAGAGAGGTTGTGGAGTCTCCTTCTCTGGAGATCTTCAAAACCTGTTTGGATGCAATCCTGTGCTTCATGCTCTAGGTGAACCTGCGTGTGCAGGGGGATTGGACTAGATGATCTCTGGAGGTCCCTTCCAACCTTAAGGATTCTATGATTCTTCAAACGTACCTTGAAGGTCCTTGGCACACTACACATTATCTTTTTTTTATTGTCCTTACATTCCCTATGCAAGTACATATGCCTTAGCACTGTTAGGGTTCTTGTTCATCATTCCGTTTTAAACCTTTCAAGTACTAACTAACAGTAACACATTAACACACTAATAATTAAACAATACTGTGATTAAACATCAGTTTCTACTCAAAAGGTGTATGCTTTAATAAGAAGTCATTAAATAATTCTTCCAGCAAATATAAACTTCTACATAAAAATTAGACTTTTGATATTTAATAAAACCTGAATGATATTAATCTGAATTAAAATATTTGGAATATTAGTGTATTTGCTTAATAAATTGACTCCCAAATAGTTTTACTCACTCAAAAGGACACAGAAATTTTCTCAGCTACCATGAATGTGGAGTAAAATTTGAGATAGTATCTAGCAACACACATCATTATTCATGATAAAGTAGTATCTATACCCAGTAGAAAATACAGGAAATTTTTCCTCCACCAGATGAAACTCTGAGCTGAAATTTGTCATGACAATGTGAAAATCATGCCATGAAAATGAGTTCATGTATCATGAGAACATCCCTTGTCTCAAGATTGAGTCCCCACTCTTGTTGCAAGTGAGTCTTGAGAATGAGTCCTTGCTTTTGTAGCCTAAAAAGGCTGGTGACAACACAGAAGATTTTTGCTTTAATTTTGCTGCATTCTTCCTCCCCAAAGATGTCACTGGTGTTGAAGAATATACAGTATAGATATTGTTAAAGATTACAGAGCTAGCACATTTTAAGTGAAACAGAGAATCTATTCTGAAAAATATAACTAAATCCTGTAGTTGAGATTACTATAGTGCACAGATCTTTTATCTTCAAATACTGAAGTAAAATTTTAAAAAGTAAAAACATAGACAACCAAACTAGAACAGAGCCTAAATCTGTAATATTTTTTTTCCATATCTGATTAAGTTAATTTTGTTTATTTGTTTATTTAGGTTTATACAGATAAGAGTGATCTCTCAAGTTTAGTTTCCTGTCTCTACATCCATCTGAACAACCTAGTGTGAATGCAGAGGAACAAAGTGTTGAGTTGGATGGTTAAAAAAAAGTTATAATAACTAGAAACCATATTCAAAGAATGCCTTTAAGACTTTACATTTCTAATAGGAATTGCACAACTTTTCTCTGAAGTTGAGGAAGGGCCCTGAAAGAGTGTTCCTCTTTCTACCAGGGAGCGGTGTAAGAAAATTCATGCCACAAAGGCACTCTGACTTTGCCAAAAGCATTTATGGTTCATGATTAGGAGCCTGATCATACTTCTGATCATATTTCCAGTATGATTGTGATTCAGAAGACTGTGGCCAAATTCCTTCTATTTCTGAGACCTTCCTTTCTTTATCCCACAAAGTTCAGCTTTCTTCATTAGGTCTTATACTTAGGATTTTACAATATCACAGTGCATAATTACAGACAGAATAAAAAGTCACATGGATCAAATTGAGCTATCCAACTGAAGAACTGCACTGGCTTGGAGAATGTTTTGATTTTTAAATGGCTTATCCTTCTGCAGTCTCTGGATTTTCTGAAGTCAGCTCTTGCCCTTACAATACTGACACTTAGGTAGTGATACTGCTGGTGTCCCTCAGGTGAAGGCGGAGACCATAGTGAGTGATCACAATATTAAAGAGGTCTGGCTAATACCTGATTTATGTAATCCTGTTAAGTCTGTGAAGGAGATCCAGCGCAAACCGTATGTCGATATGGACAGTTTGAGGAGCTGCCTGCTGCACTTGAAGTGCACTGAGCATTGGTCACTCTTGAAAAAATGTGAAGATTTCTACCCTTCAGGGAACACCACATACCTTCCTGCCCAGTTGCTAAATATTTTGTGTCCTTCCACCTTTTTGTGTCTGCATAAAGTTTCTTTTTTTTTTTCCCCTTTTTCAGGATGCAGATGGCAAAGTTTTACTGTACTTCACCTCTTCTTTCTAAATATAATAGGTTCACTAAGTTTAGTTGTTCATTTCTCAGTGGAATCATAGAAGGCAAAAACACATTAATCTTCATGGGAATGAAACGAACCACTGGATGCAAGTCTCCAACCTGGTCTACTCAATGGTTTTCAGGAGTACAGGTGGAATAACTGCATGAGGAGCCAGGAAAGTCCATCTGGTAGTCAGGGAATAACGCAGAACACTGAGGCGGACACTGACAACTGTTTGGTCAAAGCCCATTAAATCCCTTATGCAACTGAGCCTGCCAGTCAAACCAAGTGGCTATTGTGGCATAAAGCACTCATCTTTTGCATGGATTAGCAGAGAGTAGCCAAAGAATAAAAGAAAGTCATTGCATTTGCCATTGTGCAGCAAAATAAGAGCATGAGAATACTGTAGAGTGCATTTCATCCATCAGTCAAAAGTGTTGCATGTTGTTCTGAGAACAGTCTTGTTCTGGCCCTGGATGAAGTATCTGAAAATACCAAAAACCCAGGCCTTGCTAAGTGCAGAGATACTTCCCGGTAGTAGTCTGGTGGGTGGCCTCAGTTCATAGTTGGTAGCTTCTAAACCGCTAGGCTGACACCTAAAATAGATGATTTACAGAAACATGAGAAATAGCATCTGAAAAAGATGTGATACTAAATGTCCCATTATCTTAAGGTCTGGAGAAGGAATGTGGTGCCCTTAAGGATACTTGGCTATATAAAGAAAAAAGACTGTGAGGACAGCATTTCTCCCTTGCTGCAAAGAAAGATAGACTCTGTTGCCAACATAATCCTTTCATCACAGAGCAACTGTAACAAAGTGTTGGAACAAAATAGAGAAATTCAGTGCAAAAATCAGGTTCTTGGTCAGAAAATGATTCTTCCAGCCCAGTTCCAGTGTTAGGAACTGTGGTGGAGCGATGCCTGGGGTCCTTCAGTTCAGTGATGACTGAGACACTAGTAGTTGACAGAAGCCTCATCACTTCCCCAACTCCACCTGTCTTACAAGTCTGGATGGACAGGACAGGTTTATACAGTTTAGGGATGGTAGGAGCCAAACCCTTCAGTAAACCAAACAAAATCATTGAAATGCAGGAAAGAGGGTAAGCTCTAGTTGCACAAAGGACAAAAAAGGGCAGGATATAAGATCCCAAGAGGAGACAGGAGAAAGTTGTTTGGACTTACTGCTGGATGGACTTAGTGGTTGCACAGAATAAATTGCCTATATAAACTTAGCATAACCTAACTTTCTCAGCAGCTGACTGTAGGTAAACAGGTGATTATGAAATGGCAAAGCCTGTGATTTGGGGGACAGCAGAGCTAAATGAGAACTTACTCTGTTGAGTAGATGAGATATTTTTCTTCTTCCTCAATATCACAAAAACCAGAAGAAGTATGATCACTACAATTACAGCTATAAGTAGGCCAAAGAAATTTATCTTCATTTGTTCCTTTTCTTCCCCCTGTATCTCTGAATAAGAGAACAGAGGAGATATATACAGCAAAGATGTAATCTGGTAACAGCATAATCTACCTATCCCGAAAGTATATGAGTCAGAAGCTAAGGGGAAAGATCTCCCATATCTTTTGCTTTTTTCAGGGCTTCAGTCATGTCAGTATATCACTACTGTACATATGAATTTATTTCCAACAACTATCAGAAAAATCAAGTCTTAATGGCCACTTTATCTATAGGAAGTGCTCTTTTTAAGGTATAGGTAACACCTATAAGATCAGCAGTCTGATTAACGCAAGAGTTTCTTGCACTAAGATCTAGTTCTGGAACTAGTGCTTACAAGAGCACTAGTTCTGTGCTACTGTGCAAGTTTGAATAACCTGGGATATGTTACAACTGGGACCTGTTGGAAATGAAGGTCAAAGCCTGATGAAATCTCGTAAGAGATATGAAAGTAGCAGGGAATGCAAGGTAGATTCCCTATTTCTGACTGCCGTGCTTTTGAGGTTTTGATTGCTAGAGTACATCTGACACAACTTCAGTTACCCTCAAACAAGCATTTGTTTTTGTGAAATTTGCATTTGTAGAAATTCTACTGAGTAACGCTAACACAGTTTATGGAGTGGCTGCTTTCATAATGTCAGGGAGAACAGAGGAAGATTTGAATAAGGAAGAGCAGGATGCAGCATTATAGCTAAAGGTAGTGGTTTTAATAGTCATGAGCAACATGAAGAGCTGTATAGGCTCTGTATAGTATTTTATTTCCAAATCCTGGAATGTAAAGCCATAAGAAGCAGTTTTCCAGCAGTTTCCATCCATTGATGACTTAACCCACTAAGCCACACAAAGAAATCTTCACTGTGGGACTTTCTGGGGAATGAATGGCAAGCTGCTTTCACACCTACAGTAGCAAGATGCCTGCCTGTACTTGCCTGCTAGATTTTCCTACAGTGCTACCATTCCCTCTTAGCTCCGTGTTTCCACCCATCTTTATGGCATCACTGAGATATTCATAAGAGCACATTTTGGCATGAATCTTTCCAGTTAGAAAGGGAAAATTAATGACCTGCAAGACATACAAAGACTGTCTAAACACAAACTGACACTGGAGACATTAATACATCAGGGAATGAACAGCATGGTCTAATTTTCTTGCAAGAGATGTATGAAAAAAAGACACAGGCCAAGAGTATCCATCTTGGGAGAGATTTAAAACTCAACTGGATAAAATTCTAAGCAGCCTGTACCACTTGACCCTACTCTGAGCAGTGAGGCTGGACTAGATGATCTTCAGAAGTTTGTTTCAATCTCAGTGAGCCTGTGATTCTGTGAAGCAGAAATCTCTATCCTAGCAGCTGGGAGTTACTTCCTGAAACTGGTTCCAGCCTAATCCAGATATCTAGTTTGCTTTGTTGCCACAGCAGCACTGGGGTAAGGAAGGAGAGGGGTTTGGGTGTGTTCTGGATAGTGCAGCAGTAGTCTCTTTCTCCTTGACCTCTCCTATCATTACTAAGGTCTCCCATGGAAAACAAAACAAAACAAAAACAAACAAACAATCAAAAACCCAAACAAACAAACTGTGGATATCAGCTGTGGATATCAACATAGGGGATGGAGAATATGCAACATTTCTAACCACTATTTCTATTTAGGATTTACCACACTCCCCTAAATACGTGGGCACCTGTGTTCAGCTCTATAGTGATGTCCCCTGTTCCCTACCTGTACGAAAAACAAATGGAAAATGGAGACTCACCTATGCCTAGTGGCACTGAGACAATACTCCCCAGGGGTTCTCCAAGGTGAAGTAAGCAGCTAATATTAGTGAGAGTATTTATAGGAACTGTGATATTCAACTTGCTCGTGACATTGTACAGCTTTGTTACAGCGTCCTGTGATACATCCATGTGCTGTATATGTCTGTATGTAATATTCTTTTGTGACACTAGCCAAACCATCTGCCTGGGCTCTGGATAGCCCCCGCTGGAAGAGCAGGAAAGATGCAGGTAGTCATTGGGCTTTAGTTTCCCAGTATGTAGCTGTGCTATCTCAGGTTGACTATAGTTGGCTGAAACAGACCAAAGAAAAAGCATTGTGAGTCAGACATATCACCTCTTGTGACAACTTCCACTAATCATTTGAGACTTTCAGGCAAAACAAGTCTAAGCAGTCATCTCCACAAACTATGGGTCCTAAGAAGGGCCTGTTATATTTTTGGTGTACACACAGACATACTTTCTCTTGTCCTCAGAACGTTTCAAGGGCACCTTCTAATAAAGAAGCAGGACTCATGAACCAGACAGCAGACCCTTGTCTCTGGGATACAGTGCTCTCTACTCTCACCTCCTGATTATGTAAGTGGAAAAACACAAACCTTTACCTATAGAATGTAAAGACAAAAAAAATCTCAGAGATATCATTCTGGAAAAGGGTAGTTGTAGATCCAGTGCTGTCATGGGTAGAAATCCTTTGTGTCTGTCAGTATCATGGATAACCATTGTGAAGCACAAAAAAAATTCACTCCTCTAAACTTGATATCTTAACAACTTGATTCCCTCCGCTCAGCTTTTATGTCATAGTGATCACAGAACAGTTTCTTTGGCTATGTGCCATTGGGTACTCGTCCCAGTCAAAGAAAAACATAATCATTGTTTTCTAAAAAAGTCAGATTCTCCAGGCTCAATAAATAATAAGCAGAAAAGGATTGTAAAGAATTATTTAAATGTAAAACAAGAATAATTTTTTTTTTTTTTTTAGCTAATGCTCTATTAAATGGCCCCAAATCTGATAAAGTTGTTCCTCACAAGAGCTAAAGATTCCCCTGTCTCCTCAGTGTTAGGCTTTCTTAGATGACTCTTCATTCAGGCTTCTGGTCTAGAGTATTTACTTTCTCCTTGGCATTTTATAGAAAGGACAGGAATGTAACCCATACTTGAGAAAATTGTCAATTATCAAAGCAAACTTAAGTATTTCAGTCAATATCATTATCAAAGTATCTTCATTTTAATGACTTTAGGAATATAATTTTATTGAAAAGTAATGTTACTTGCATGAAGAGTGTGGGATACCTCTTTGTGAGCTTTGTATCTGGATTATTAAAGTTCACAGAAAAGTGTATTTAAGGATATAATTTGTATTTAAAGATAGCATGTTTTTCAAAAAGGTGGGGTGAGGGTAGATTTAAATACATCAAGAAACCACCAGGCCCATACTATTTATTTTACTATACCACCCTAGTTGATTTTATTCTGTTTCTGAAGTGACATGTTGCCTTACTTCTCACTTCCTTCCAGCCACTTGTTAAATCTTTCTTCACTGTATTAATCAGTCTTCTATTAGTATTTTATAGATATTTCAAGTTCCTTTACACTCAGAGAAATCTCTTCTCAATTTTCTTTGCAATAAGCTAAGCAGGCTGATCTTTCAAAATCTCCAGCTGAAGTATGAACTTCAGATAGCTCTTTTAGATCTTTTCCTCACATTTCGAAGTTTTTCAACATTTCCAAAATGAGGACATTGAAACTGTAGTCTGCATCTTGTTATCAGTTCCATCTTCACCACCCTGAACAGAGACTATTTTGAAATAGCTTCTCTAGTCTCACTTACTTCATTTATTGATCCATCCAAAGGAAGAACTAGAATTATGCTATAGCAGCAGAAGAGGAATTCCCTGTCAAGCTGATTGTCATTATGATCTGTACCTTGTTTGTTTGTTTAAGAGCCAAAGCTTCTTGTTGTGAAGTTCTCCCCTCTTTGTGGAGAACCATCTGTGCTCTTTTATACATATATATGTGTGTATATATATATATTTATCCTCTTGTCTAAATACAATACATACACCTAATAGATTAGTATATATGGTCTTTATGTAAGACATATAAATAATACATGTAAACTGTACTAGGAGCTACTTCAGTATTTTTGAACGGGGTTTGGTCATCAAATGATCTAAATAGCTTTGTATGCCTACCTTATAATTCTTGTGCAGCACTGAAACACTCAGTATTCTCATGTCCATTTTAAGTGTGAAAACCCATACTTATGAAAAAGCCTTTCATGTATGGTATGATATGATATTCTAATATCAACTAAGGAACTAAGAATATAAGCACGAAATACCTGCTTTTAACAACAAGTACATTCCAACATTACTATTTTATCTTCTAATTCATTCTTATTTTATATATTTTTATGTTTAAACACATGTACTTGTATATTCTTGTATACTTGTAACATATAAACAGTATACACATAAATTGTATACTGCTCCTTCCTTAGGGAGATTACTGAATAGAAAGTCATTAACAGGAAACATTTCAGCAGGTAGTTTAAACTGGGTCTCCTAAGTTAAACCCTAAAGATTTGGACAGGCTTTGTACCTAAACATGTGACTTCTATAGCATGTTTTCACAGGCTGGTTAAATGGATGCAACCATTTCAATTAATTGAATAGGCAATTTCCTCTCAAGCTCCTCTTAAATTGGATATTAAGTGTAAACTGCGAGTCTTTGAGACCTAAAACTTTGCTGAAGATACTTGTGAAGTAGATTCTGCTCAGATACTGTGAGAACCAGTATTAATAATCAGAGTTTTCTGTTTGTGTATCCAGGGAGCACTTGCTGGTAGCACAAAGCTAAATCGCCTCATACAACTTTGTTCTTCCTTTCTGGCTGCTCTTACAGCTTGCCTATTCTCTTTTGACATAATGTCTTGAAGCCTGAAAACATGGGTACAAGCCAGAAGCTGTTCTTATTAGTGACTAAACTACTACAGTGGAAGAGAAAACACAAGCATATGGACAAGGTAACATGCAGAACAATTTAATGGAAAAAAATAAGTAAAATATATATTAGGAATTGCTATAAATTTTAGAAAACACTATGAAAAATGCTTCCTCACTGAACACCATTCCCGTTAGAGAATTTTCTAACTTTTCCTCTGATAATATGCAACAAATCGGCTGAAAACCATTAATGCCTGCATTTTTTGCAGGGAGATATTTTCAGGCTTCCTTTAAGTGAGCATGTGAATTTCTACTCCTCCACATATGAGCTGCTCTTTTCTTTATTTTTTTTTTTTTTTTTATGATTTATATCATCATAAAATAGCTGTGTGTTTGCAGAAATCTTGTTACATTTCAGTGGAAATTTACTACCAACAAAGCTAATACTATTGCTTTTAATAAAAGGCTGTGGATCAGATGCAAATAAAAAGTGTGTTTTCCAGGGTCCTAGAAGCCATAAAACATTTACAGGAGGGAGGAGGAAGAAAACAGAATGGTTTTCAGTATAAAGCATGGCAAGGTGGGAGTCAGGAATGGTGTGATACTGGGTAAATTATTACCTCATTTTCTACTCCTGCTTTTCAGATCTGAGGACCTTCTACTGAGTCATTTATCCATCTTTAGGAGTTTTGCTCAAGAGCAGTTATATCTCCAGTGGCAGTGAGGGAAGGAAAGGGGAACACACATGTTTCTAGATTGAACAAAGTGACAGCAAAAATAAAAAAAAAAGGATCAAACAGCATTAATTACTTACCAATGATGTGCAGTGAGCACCCAGATTTGTGTATAATCTTTGTTGATGCTTTCTGTCTGTGCTGTATCACACACGTATACCATCCCTCATCCGTGATCTCCACATTTAGCAATTGTAAAGTCCATCTGTCCATATCCATCTTAGTGCGATTTACATATTTAGGGCTAAGGTTCTCGTGTATTTCCTGGCCATAGTATACTTCATGCACAACCTCAACATCGCCATCACCTTTTTGCCAAAAAACTATTAAGTCTTTGATGTCAATTTCCTGAGACTTCTGAAATGAGCAGGATATGTGTGCAGTGTGATTGAGAATTGATATCACCTGAGGCACGTTGGCAGCAACACCTCACACAAAAAGAGAGAGAATTTAAGATTTCCATTAGCTGCAAAGACCACTAGACATTCATGCTCATAGAGACAACATTTAAGACAGCAATAAAATCATCAACATTCAACAGAAGTTCTCTCACTAGGTGTGACTAGATATATAGCTTTTTAAGACTGACTCACTTGGGCTTATGGAGTTCACAACATAAAACTGTTCATTTTCCTTCCTGTATTTTACTTTCCAAGGAAGTCATAGAGGTGTTGCAAGAAGAAGCTAACTTTGTTTATAGATGACTATTATCTGACCACGGGTCTACACTATTCCCATTTTTGGTACCCTGAATGTAATTATATTGCTTCACATAGGGGCTAGCTGCATATATATATATGTATTCAATTGAGTTAAATTAACACTTTTGCCTCACTAAAAGATTAATATGAATTTTAATGACAAATTAAATGTCAGAATTAGCTGTTCTGCTGCTCATCTTGTTAATAGAAATACTTAGTCCAAAAAAAAAAAAAAACCACAATTATGCTATAATGCAAAGCATTGTATCTGTTTGAACTCAATTTTATCTGGACTGATTTTTCTCTCACTGTCATCAGTTCATGTATCTATTGTCATTATATGTGGCAATCTGCAGTAAGGACAAGATTTTTTTAAATGAGAAATGCCATCATCTGTTCCAGAAGACACGGACACCACTGCTTTGTTCAAAAGGAGAGGGAGAAAAAAAATCTCTGTCAGGAGCAAAGTTTTGATTGTCCCTCTGGAACACCAAACTGCAGAATGGGACCCTCCTCAGCTGCCTAAAACTCTGCTTTTGCCGTAACAAACTGTTAGTATTTCTAATTTAATATTGTTCTCTTCAATAATATACAGAAGTGATACACACTTATCTGTAAGATGGATTAGAAATTAAGAAAATTTAAGAGCAACATAAAATGAGCGTGATATAAAGAGATAAAGTGGAAGCGAGGAAGTACTTACTATACATTATTATAGAGACATTCCACCCCCCCAAAATTTAAATGTTTGTCAGATTGGATATGTGACTGTGATTTTTGAGTAGGTTAAATTGTATCTCATAGTAAGACACAAATAATCAAAACACCCCTTACAATTAAAAATGTGCATCTTACCTGGGAGAAGTATCATAGACTGAAGGAGGAATATACACACCTCCATGATGCTACAAGAAAGAAAAATAAATCAAATATCGTAGAGGTTGAAGACGTGTCAAGTATCTTTCCCAAAAAAGCAGTAAAAGTTTGAGCAAGAGAAATTCTATGAAGAAAGTTTATCTCACCTCTTTCTGTTGACTGGTGTAAAAATTAGTGTGAACTTCACAGTCTTACACATGCCATGATGGACCTCCCTTTTACAAAGAAGACGATGAAATTCACAATCAGTGCAGACAGGATATGCCATGAGAGGAGCGCAGAACCCTGGTGCGCCAAGAGCAGAACGAGTACCCACAACTGCTAGCACCAGGGAAAGCGGAAAGGAGAGCATGCTCGCCCATGGTGGTGTGGAGACGAGAATGGGGGAATTGAAAGTGGAGGGGGAGGAGAGGGTGACGCAGAGGGAGGAGGTGGGGGAGGCAGCACAGTGATGTCAACTACCAGAAGCAATGAAGTGTGTGACCTTCAATTTTGTAACAAGAACCTGCTCTTCACTGTGCAAGATATAACTGAGAAAAACCCTTTGTGGTTTGAAGAGGGGAGGCTAAATATCATACATTTTGTGGTAAAGAAAAAACAGTATCTATTTAGAAAACAGGGAAAGGAAACTATGACTCATCTTATAAGCAAAACACTTCTATGACTGGATTCATGTGGTATAAGGGCCTATAGTCCTGGTTAACTCTCCATGCCCTTTTTCCCTGTTACTTTCATTCATTAGTGAGAGAACAGTACCCACATCTAACTTGCCTGTAATTCCTGGTTCACATTTCAAAGCAGCCCATTTATGCTTGTCCCGTGCCATTTTCATATGATTGAGAGGATGCTCCACACAACACTTGCCAAGGTCTCTCATTCTCCTTTCAATTCCTCTGGCGAATTCTCTTTCATTGGAGCAGATGTAAAAATTCCTCAGCTCTTACACTACTTAAAAGGAGCAAGACCGCTACCCACCATCCTGCCTGGATGTCTTACATTATAGTTGTGTGCTTTGATCTTTATTTTTACTTCTCCTCTCCTGTTAGAAAATCTAATGTAGAATTTCCTCCAGTCAGTTGTCGTGTTTTTTGTGCATATACAGTAACATGCAAAATTATGATTTTTTTTTTTTCAGGTACAATTTGCCTTTTCTCTCCCTTAGGAAAGGGGAGAAAGAAGCCTAAATTTCTCACAGGTTATCAGTGAGATTCACCTGAGTCATAGCAGGAGAGAAGGCTTGTGCAGACTCTGTTTTAATCGGATGTCATTCTCTTTCTTCTCCAGCCTCTTCTCCAGCCTCCAGCCCATCACAACATAAAGCATTTTCCTACATAGTGTACTTTTTTATCAAGAGGGTTTCATTCAAAGCGGGGCCCCATTGAATTCAAGTACACAACTGTTTGCCTAAATGAAATTGTTTGTGCCAAGTCACAGAATACTATAAACACTCCTTCTCAGCAGCCATATTTCCCTCCTGCAAATAAGAATTTCAGCTATCAGTCATAACCAAAAATGGAGAGTCTTTTTCTTTGGACCTAATGCAGTCTGTAAGTAGAGAAATTAAAACATATTAGCAACTGGAAATGAGCAAAAGAGATATAGTGTACTGCTTTAGCAAGGTATGTTTTGCAATGACTGTCTCACAGCAGCAGAGACCAAAATGGGAACTGAAAACTTAAGAGAGAGAGAAGTAAAATCCAGGCAAAAAACCCAAACCAAACAAACAAAAAAAAAAAAGTCAAACAAAAAAAAAGCAGATACAGCACTCTCTCCCTGCATTTCTTCAGCTAGGCTTGGAGCTGTGAGGACAGAAGTTTCCAAGATTGTATAGAGCTTCCAGACTGTTGTCTTCTAGGAGGAATGTGGTGCTGCAGATGACTGTATGATGAAAGATCCTAGGACTCTGCAAAGAGAAGTATCCACCATACCCCATAAAGGTCACTGAATGTGACATAACGTTCACTTTTCTTACATGAGCTGTGTTACGAGCATTTTTGAGTGAAGAAATGGGACAATAAAACTTCAGTTCTGCAAACAGCTGGGTGTTCGCAGGGTGTCTCTCACCTGCAAATGCAACACTTTGGAGCAGGAATTCAGATTTCGGAGAGGGAAAAAGGGAGTTACACAGTCTCTTGTTACATACTTACACCATTTCTTTGGCATTTTCCATAAAAATTCTGTTGGGTTCTCTTTTATTTTATAACTGTGGGCCCTAACATTAAAATACTAGCTCTATTCCATAGTTGTTCACTACTTAAGAGAGTACTAGGTAAGAAGGGAAATGAAGACATTAGTTCCCACACGGTGGCAGCAGGTGATGGAAACTGGACTGAACACTCTGCTTCATCTCAGAACATTGTGGCTCTTTTCCATTCTCTAGCTCCATATGTGCAGCTCCTCCATTCACATACTGGCTGTATCTGGACATGCAAGTGACATTTTTTTCAGGACACCAATTGTAACTAAGTAGATGGGAATTCTTTGAAGATCCAGGGCTTAAAAATTATTTCTATCATCCATAATCATGCACTTCAGATCCTCAGGGAGGTAACAATTTTCCCTTGCTAAATAAGGCTAGCTTAATTTCAAAAATGCTTTTCTTGTCTCATAGGGCCCTATCAGCCATCCCTGGAAACATGTCCCTGACCTAGGATTGATGAAATCATATGTGGATGTCAGAGATGAAAATCAGAGAAGTATTTTAATTGAAGTGATGTCAGTATGTTGTTAGTGGTCAGCTCAACTTTACTCTCTCTCCAATTCAGTCTCTGCAAGGAGGAGAAATCACAGGAGAACAAGTACTTCATTGGCCTTGTTGATGACTGCCTTTGCCTTGGTTTACTCTGAACTCTGGTCCATCTGGATCCCCCCGCCCCCGCTCAGCTGAGCACATGGGGATTCCCTCTCTAAAGAATTCCAGGATAGATTTTTGGGAAAGAGAGGTGACTTCACTCCTTTTACTTGTGAGAGTAATTATCAGGAAACCCTGTGGGTCTCATTTTGACTTTGGCCCATTATCTCCAGGCTGTTCAGCCTGGAGAAGAGGAGGCTGAGGGGGGACCTGATCAGTGTGTATACATACCTCAAGGGAGGCAGGGAGGCGGAGGGGGGCGGCCTCTTTTCAGTGGTGGACAGTGATAGGACTAGAGGAAATGGCTTCAAACTGAAGCATCGGAAGTTCCACAGGAACTTAAGGAAGCATTTCTTCACTGTGCGGGTGACAAAGCACTGGAACAGGTTGCCCAGAGAGGTTGTGGAGCCTCCTTCTTTGGAGATCTTTAAAACCCGCTTGAATGCAGCCCTGTGCCACGTGCTCTAGGTGACCCTGCGTGAGCAGGGGGGTTGGACTCGATGACCTCTGAGGTCCCTTCCAACCTTCGGCATTCTATGATTCTATGATTTCTGCATCTTATCTCCTCAAATTCAGCGTGTAATAAGTGCAAAGTCAAGAGTAAATTTCTAGGGGAACACAAGAGCTTTGTATCTGGAATTTTTATCAGTTTCATTGGCTTTTTTTTACTTGTCCCTTTTTGGATATATCGTAATAGTCCCTGGAGAGACAGTGTGTCAGGTGTGCCCTCTTAAACGCCTAATTTCATTCAGTGTTCTTTTTCTTTCAAAACACACCTTTAAAGAGTGTCTAGGAACATGTACTTAATTTTTGCACATTAGATACTTGTCTTGTATCATCCATCTTTCACCATGAACTCAAACCAAAACTGTTCACTAAACTAGTAATCCACTCTTCTTAATTTTCTAGAGTAGGGTATTTTCTAAAATTTCCACACTAGCTATCACTGATTAGCTTCATTAGTCATATTGTGAGTCTCTTGGAGTGAGAATAGTTATGGCTAAGATCCTGCTACCAATGCATTAGAAAGCTCTATCCTAGAGCTTTCTAAACAATGTTGTACTAAAAATGTGTTCCTCAGACTTTAAACACTCAGCATCACTCACCCTGTAAATACTTATTGAGTTGAACAGGTATTATCAAAGGAAAGAACATCTTAAGGAAAATCTCTTAACATAACATGGCCAGAGTTTTAGGATACTCTCCAACCACTCAACTACGCATTCACATAAATATCCAACAAGCAGTATAATTTAAAACATACATCCAAGCAACTGCTTTTTCCCTCTGTGCCTCTCCACTTAGAAAATGCCATTGTCTTAATCATTTGCTAAACTCTTCCTAACACTCATTTTCTTTAAAAAAAAAATCAAGTTAAATTTTGAAATTCTGTTTGCTGATTATGTTGTTGCATTAAAAAAAATCTTTCCCTGATGCTTTGTTTTCCTTCTTGCTTTCCCTTCTTTCAGTACCATCATTTTATTATATCCAAGACCTTTCAGACATCCAAACTTAAGAGAAATTACGACTTTCTTTTTTATTCTGGGATTTGTTTTCCTCTAATATCCAGAATCTGCTCTTTTAATAACAATAAAGCAAAATCAATTATTTGAATAATACCTTTGTCCCAAAGATCAAGGAGCATTTCCACTGCCTCTGCAAGCTGAATTCTTCATCCACAACTAAAGGGCGAATATCTCTGAAAGCGAACACAGCAAGTGTCTAGTAATGCAGTCCCACAACACAAATCATAGAATGTGAACTATGTTATTCCACGTAACTGAAACTGTGGGGGAAATCTGGAGGGGAAGAACGTCAACCAGAGTAAGACATTCATTGGAATTAGATGTGGTGTTCTGAGTTCCACCTACAGGACAGGTCAGGTTGACATATTTTTCCACAACCTAGGCTATACCCCAGGAGACCCCCAGCTACAGAATTGACAAGTCATTTGAATCACTTTTTCTGCATCATCAGGCAGTATTGTTCTTTTCTCCCATCTATTGCACTTGCCTTAAGGTTAGGCAGTCAAGTTCTTGACTGGGAGGAAGAAAGTGCCAGCAGAACTTCACTGGTTCATGCTAACCTGATTGACTTTACAATGGAACAGAGAAGGAGCACACCCTTGTGCTCACACAGACACAATCATAGAGGGCAGCTGAGGAACAGAGCTCTCAGTTGCTGGAGTTACTTTAAGGGGCACTGTACAGAGGAGGAAATTCACATGCACATTCCCCAACTTTGTGTCTTCTGAGCCCTCCATTTCTATAGTAGACAATTTGCCTGGACACAACAGGTTAAGGGATTAGTGTTAAAGTTTT